GCATCAAAAGTGCATCAACATTTCATAAACATTTCATCAAAAAGTTAGATAAAAGTGTGTATACTTTTGAAAAGTGTATAAAAAGTGCATCAAAAGTGTATCAAAAGTGCATCAACATTTCATAAACAGTTCATAAACATTTCATCAAAAAGTTATGACAAATTCATCAAAAGTTCATGACAAGTTCATCAAAAAGTTATGAAAAGTTCATCAACAGTTCATCAATTTGTATAATAGATCATTATGAACATTACATATACATTTACATTTGTATTGTGTATCACTCGAGCATTTCAATGAGACGCTTTACCAAAGTAAGATCTTGCACTCTTCATTATTTACTTGTGTTCAAGTTCAGTGATCTCAAAGCCTGAATGCATTCATAGTCTCAGATGGAAGAGATGGCAGACAATTCACAGGAGGAGATCTTGCCAGGACAGGCTTCTCCAATTCTTCAAGATTTGGAAGAAGAGCATTCACAACCCATAGTGCGGAGGAAGCCGAGCGCAGCAAAGGCAAAAGCAACAGTCAGGCCAAAGACTGTCATGAAGGCTACTCTCAAAAAGCCTGCGGCTTCTTCACAGAAGGACACCCCCAGGAAGAGGCCAGCTGCAAATCTCGATGAAGCTCAACCCAAAGGTCAACCCAAGACCAAGGTCGTAAAGACCAATGAGTGGGCCAAGGGTTCCAAGCTCATTCCTCCTGAAGAGGAAGATGCTGACGAAGAAGAAGCTGAAGAAGAGTGCTTGGAAAGTGATCCAATCCAGGACGAAGAGCCCTTCGAGTTTGATGACAAGCGCAAGGACCGATCTAAGGACAACAAATTCAAACTGCTCCTGGCGCAAGGGACGTTACCAGACTGGATCAAAGAAGCGTGGGAAAAGACCAAGAGTATGAGAACAGGCAGGTCAGCAGCCCAGAGGAAGATTGTGAATGAAGCTCTCACTCGAAGCCCAGAGGGCGCTTTGGAGCTTACCTTGGACAAGCCGAGCCTCCAACATCTCAAGGACTACGATTTACACTCATTTACTGTTTACAAAAGCATTGCCATGTATTTACTTGAGAACTTCACAAGTATCAAATCCAATGTTTCCTGCGCTTGCACACGCCAGACTCAGATAGCATAATTTTGAATCAAACACGTTGCAATTGCCCTTGTTCCAGGAAAGCTTTACTACTCGCACTGCGACGTCGAAGAACAAGAGCTTACCAAAGGTGCTGTTTTGCGGCAAGTTTGGATTGACAGAATCTGCATTCCAAGAAGGCCTTGAACGTGGTGACTTCTTTGAAGTCGAGAGTGCAGACGGTCGTATGACCTATGGATGGCAGCAAGACGAGCAAGCCACCACTCGAGGAACTTCTTCGAAAATGGAGGTGGCCGCTTCCAAGAAGTTGTCGAAAGAAGAGTTGCAGGTGGAGAACATTGCCATGAGCTCCTGGCAGTTTGGCCTTTTCAAGAAAAAGAATGTCAAGGCCTTGGAGGGTGGCGAGACACCGATGGCCATTGAGGACCAGAAGGCTGAGCTCTCTGAGAGGGCCTGGAACGCTGCTCAGAAGCAACTCCTTGACGCACAGAAGGCCATGGACGAACAGATCCGGGCCGGTAAGAAGTTGTTGCAGCTTGTCGGTGTCGACAACAAGGCTGACCCCCTGTACCACAGCTCGACATTTGGTTTTTGCTTAGTATATCCGTTCCTATTTGTGCTTCCTATGTGTGTTCAATGTGTATCAAAAAGACTCATAAAGTTTTCAATTTTCTATCACAAAAGATATGGATTTGTTTTGGTCATTTAAAACATTGTCATGTGAATTGTTACTCACGCCCACCGCAAAAAAAGAATCAAAAGCATGTATGTAACGCTTTCATTTTGCCTTCTGCGTCAGGAAAGACATCATCCAAATGCTGACGGAAGAGAAATCTCGCCTCGAGCATATGTACAACTGGAAGGAGACTCCAGAGTCGGATGTCTTGACCTTGCAGGCCTATGATGAGTGCATGGCGAAGGGTGGCCAGGTTGCTTCCAAGGCCCACGAGCAGTTGGCAGGGATCAAGGGGCAGCTGAGTGTTCGAGCGAAGAAGGTGACATAGAGACCTTCTGCCCATCTGACCCGCGAGCGGCCTCTGGTTTTTGAAAATAATCACATTTTCTTGTGCAGTCAACAGCTTTACTCGAGCGTGCAATTCAAAGCATTCATTAACCAGATTTACTCGAGCATTTTTTTGGTACGCAATAGCTCTAGCTCTACTTGAGCATTCCATTCTACAGCCTTACCTTCATTTTAGACACCCTTACCTGTGCATTCATTTTAGACAGCCTTACCTGGGCATTCATTCTATACAGCCTTCCCTGGGCATTCATTCCCTACAGCCTTGCTTGAGCATTTATTCTATACAGCTTCAACCTTTATTTGAGCATTCCCTCTACCGCACCGCCGGGCATTCTGCAATTTTACTCTAAAAGTTCCGCACCAGTGCCAACAAAGTCAAAGCGCAACATTGTACTAGGAATGCTGCGCTGCACAGTTTTTTCCAAAGCGGTGAGAGGGCAAACAAGAGATGTTGCAATCTATTTTTCCATGTGTCAAAACCTCAGGGTTCGCAAGTGCATAACACTGAGTTCACTATGGATTCTCCGCCAATGAAGCGCGGTGTCAAACGAAGACGAAGAGGCCAGCAGCAGCGGATAGCCAATCAACGAGAGGCTATGGTGAAGGAATCTGCTGCGCATGCACTCTTGATGGCATTGATTGCCCAGGGAATCATGAGTGGCGTATTGGCGCATAAAATAGCGGTTGCTTGCAAGACAGATCTGGAGGCATGCAAAGAAGGGTTTACTTTTCCAGAATTGTACAAGTTGGCAAATCTTCAACAAGGCCGCAATCTCATTAGAAGTGTGCATACAGCATTGGCAAAAAGCACAATGGTCCCTGAGCCAATGAAAGTGCCAATGCCATATACAACTGGCATTGGCGAAGCTCATTTCTTACTTCCGCATGAATACTTCGCGTGTATGTATGAAGATTCTCAGCAATGGAAAAGCAAAATTCTTCCACAAGAGGAACAGTTAGAGGCTTTCTGGAATGCGTTTGAGCACCACCCCACTCTGACTGGGCATCCCATTAAGAAAAAACAGCATTGGAAGCGAACTGTGCTGCCTTTACTTTTGCACGGCGACGAAGTCTCCGTGACGGGAATTGGGAAGGTCTGGTCTCGATCAG